GCCCTCCTCCTGTCCTCCCACACGTGGTACCCCACTGCTGACGCCATGCTAGGTTGTGTTGCCTTTACATTCCTTTAATCATAAATGAAAGTGAACATGTTTTGGCTTTTTTTGTTTTTATTTCTGCTAAATTTTGGGTCACATACTTTTTCCATTTTCTCTCAGATGGTTCATTTTCTTTTATTTATTTCCTTTTTTAGGTTTTTGCCATAGAGTCCATGCTCTCCTGAAGAGAAATGGAGAGAGAGACAGTGAGAAACCACCCCCCAGGAAGGACGGTCGCACGGCAACCCCTTCTCCTCCATTCTCCTCTTGGGATTTTGGGCATTCACACCTGATAGGATTTCAAACCTCCAGGTCTGGGGCTTGAACCACAGTTGGCCATAGGAGAGTCCAGCACCTTAACCACCACACCACTTGCCAGCCCCAATTTATTTCCATCTTTTAAAGCACAAAAAGAAAAAGACTATTTCGTATTTATGTTGTAAATTGTCTCTGCTATTTTGTGGTTTGTGTCTTTACTATTCTCTGTGTCCTTTAGGTTTTTTTTTTTTTTCATTTATATAAAACTAAGTTTTCATTATTTTCTATTATGTCTAGTCATTTTGTGCCATTTTTTTCAGAATTATTTATTTTTATGTATTATTATTATTATTTTAATTTAATCAGAGAGAGAGAGGGAAAGTGAGAAAGCAAGTTACCAGGTCCAGGACTTGAACTGCAGTAGGCCATATGGGAGTCCAGCGCCTTAACCACCATGCTACCTGCCAGCCCTTTGTGCCTTGTTTTAAAAGGCATCCCCCAAGAAGTTCTTAAAAGTTCAGATTCATGAACCCAACCCACTGGACTCAGGATGGGGGCCGACTCGTCCCTGCAGATGTGGGACTCAGTCACACGCACCAAGGCAGACGTGTGCCCAGGCAGGCTAGGCTGCACCCGGGTTCCTGCAACATGATGGGGTGGGGGCCAGAGGACACTCAGGGAGGACGTGCATCCGAACCAAGGGTCTGGAGGGCTGGACGCAGAGCCAGAGGTGGCAGCCCAGTCCTGGGGTCCGAGGGAGTGGGCCGAGGACACTGAGACCTGGGGCCCCCATAATTCAGGGTTGAGCCCACTGATGTCCCAGCCTGCTCTGCCCAGTGCTGGCCCAGGGTGGCCTCACAGCCTGGCCAGCTGCACTCAAGCTTCCGGGGCCATGGCTGAGAGGGCTTGAATTAGACTGGGCCTAAACTTAACTCCCTTGGCCTTATAAGCCATCCGGGAAATGGGAGTTGCGGGGAGACGAGTATAATCGAGTATAATCCTGGGTTTTTGTGCTTCTCCTGCTGATTTCAGCTTTTGAGGGGCAAACACCCACCTGGTGAGGTGCCACCTCCTACAACTCAGGGAGGCAAGACTGAAGTGGGGGGAAGAACCAACTTCGCCAAGGGACAATGGGCTGTCGTTGGCAAAGAAAGGGACCCAGATTCTCCCCTTGACTCTTCGCACTCCTTAAAAATGCCAGTCCTAGGAGTTAGGCCCGGGTGCGAAGGGGCACAAGTGAGCAGCGTGCATGTGCAAACTGGGGTGCGTGCAAGCCCACTGTGCAGAGTGAGCATCTGGCCTTCTGTCTGCCCTGGACTGAGCTCTGCTCCATGCTCTGTCCTGGGCAGTCACTCCACTCTGAGCCTCAGCAGCCTCACCTGCTTGTCCCTCGCAGGCGTGTCGTGACTTAGCCAAGGTGAGGTGGCACAGCACAGTCCCTGTGCACATCCCTGTTGCCATCAGTGCCCTTTCTCGAGCCCAGCTCGCTAAGGGCACCCAGCACAGGTCAGGAGCAGAGGAGGATGCGGAGGGCTTGTGGATCATTGCACCCGACGGATAAACTAAGCATTTAGATCCATTGACACAGCCAGGCTAAGGCCTGACCCAACTTCTTTTTTCCATTGACCAGAGGGTTCGTGTGCTTGCCAGAGAGAGACCGAGGAACAGGCAGGGGTGGTCGGGGGAAAGCACCCCCAGTGGGAGAGGGCATAGTCAAGCCAGAATCCCATCTCCATTTCTCCATCCTGTTGGGATTTGGTGTGCATGTAATGTGTACACATGCGCATCTGTGCAAGCGTGCGCGCGCACACACACAGACACATACACACACACACACAGACACACACACACACAGAGTGTGCTTTTCAAGCCTCTGGGGCTAGGATTTAAACCACTGCCAGCCATACGGGATCCACCTCTCTGACCACTAAGCCCCAGGCTGGCTCCAGCTTTTCATTTTGGTGACTAGTGAGTACACTTAGATCCCCAGCCACCAGGAGCTCTGAAGGCTAAGACTGACCTCAGAAAGAAGCAGGCAAGGAGGGTGGGGAGTTGGGCTGCAGAGGTGTGACCGTGAGTCCAGGAGGGGAACAGCACCTGCAAGGGTCCTGCAGAAACAAAGAGCAGGATGCATTCTGGGAGCTGAGAGGTGGCCAAGATGCCAGGGTGCAGAGGGCAAGGGCAGAGGGGCGCTGTGCTGCCGGGAGAGGGGCTGAGCAGCAGGAGAGAAGTGTGCCTTCCTCTCAGAGCACTGGGGAGCCACTGGAAGGGTCTGAGCTGGAGGAGGAGAATATATCTGCATTTTTAACGAATCTATGGCCTGCCTGTGGAGGCGTCTGATTTACCTTCAAAATTTTTCTTGGGCTTCTATCACCTATATAATCACCGTTCCCTTTCCAGGCACCATCACCTCTGGCCAGAACCATAGCCTCAGCTTCTTCTTCACTGTCTCTGAATCTCCTGGCACCTCCACCTGCCTCCAACGCAATGTCCCCTGACCCCCACTCCCTACGCCTGCTACCTCCAACACAGTACCCCCCACCCCCTACAATCCCTGCCTCCAACAGTGTCCCCTGACCCCCACTCCCTATGCCCGCTACCTCCAATGCAGTGTCCCCCGACCCCCACTCCCTACGCCCGCTACCTCCAATGCAGTGTCCCCCGACCCCCACTCCCTACGCCCGCTACCTCCAACACACACTCGGGTCAGCCTCTACACAGCAGCCAAAGCGATCTTTTGTAAACATAAGCCGGACTTCGGCTCTCCCCACCCGAGACATTTATTCAGTCCATCTCTCTCTTCCATTTAAAGCTTTAACCCCTGACCTGACTTCAGCTCCTGGGCCACTAGGGACCCCAAATCTCTGCCCTTGCTTGGTCCACTCCAAACACACTCTCTTAGTCTGTTCCTCAAAAGCACCGCGTCCTACCCCAGTTCAGGGCCTTCCACTGTCCCTTAGACCTGAAGTGACCCCCTGTGACTCTTCCTGCTATTGTCTGCTCTGCTGACAGGGCCTTCCCGGGTGCCCTCCCTGGCTGCCCGCCGTAGTCTAGTTTCCGTAGTTATCACCTAGCTACTGAGGAAGGGCTGCGTGCTCCACAAACAGCAAGCCCCACAGCAGCATCCGGAAGGACTGACGGAGCGAATCTGCCGACACGCACGGCATCCACTCGCAGAGAGCTCGGGCAGGCACGACCCTCACCACGCCCTGGGAGACGGGTTCTATTACAATCCCTGTTTTTAGATAAAGAATCTGACAGTAACTTGCCCAGGGCTTCCCGGTTAGAAAATGGTAGGGCTGGGATGGGCCCCCAGCCGGGTGGTGGCAGAGCCAGAGCCACTCGGCTGCTCTGCTCGTCCAGTGCTTCAGCATCAGACAGCCCGGCGAGTCAGGCCAGCGGCTGGGCGGCCCCTCCCTCTCTCCCTCTGCCCCACCTGTACCTTCCCTACTCCGTATTGCACACTTCACAACTGCGAATGGACACCTGGGGTCACCAGAGCCCACCCTCCCCTCGTCGCTCCAGCGGGTCATGTCTGCCCCTTAAACCACCCCTTGCATCCACACCCTTCCCTCCATCTCCACTGCTGTCTTCCTGGACCAACCCAGCCACCAGGAGCTCACACCCCAGCAACAGCTGCAGCCTCCCCAGAGCCCTCACCCCTCTACGATCGTCCTCCTCCAACCCATCCTCCACGCAGTGGATAGAAAGATCTAGAAAAGGAATGATATCCCCTAGGCTCTCCTGAGCAAAGGATGCACTCTAGGGCGTGATGCCCGGGATGGCTACGAACTTCTATTTGCTGTTCCTGCGCTTGGAGACCCATACTAAAAGCTGCATGGCCCGCCACGCTCTCCCCAGGCTCCCTGCCCTCTGCCCTGCACTGGATGTGGTCTAGAAAGGAGGGATCTGTCCCTCACGCACACCAGGCTCTCTGTAACCTTCACAAGTGCTCTCCTCTCTTCCTGACTTCTCTCCTCTCCTGACTTCCAGCGTGGCTCCCACTTAGCCTCGAGGTGTCAGAATAAATGGGCCCTCCTCGAAGGGCTCTCAGTCAGCCTATCTGCCTGAGATCACGGCAGGGAAGTGCCATACTGCAGGGCTGACCCACGTGGAGAAGTGCCAGGTTCGCACCTGGAGGCCGCCCTGAGTACTCTGGGTCTGTGTGTGCCCAGGATCGGGCCTTCTAAAGCTGAGGGTAAGTCATGGCATCAAGGCCCTGTTGAAGGTGCTGTCTCTGTCTCTCTCTGCCTCTCTTGCTGATGAAAGAAAGAAATACTTTTTTAAAAAAAATTGGAGAGGTTTTTGCTATAAGGCACATGCACTCGCTCGCCAGAAAGACAGAGAGAGACAGAAAGTGAGAAATCACCCCCCAGGGGGGATGGCTACGCTGCAATCCCTTCTCCTCCATTCTTCTCTCAGGATCTTGGGCATGCATGCACACGCGCCCGGTGTCAGTTTAAGCCACAGGGTCGGAGACTCAAATCGCAATTGTCTACATGGGAGTCCAGCGAAGTAGCCATTACGCTGGTCCCCCCAAAAAAGAAATACTTTTAAAAAGATGCATAGGCTAGTGTGATTAAGGGAGCTGGATTCCACATGGCCAACTGTAGTTTGAAACCTGGCCCTGGCAGCTTGAAAAACATACTGGGCATGTGTGTGTGTGTGTGTGCACACCTAAAATGTTGAAAGGAGGGAGAAATGGGGAAGGGACTGCAGTATGACCCTCCCCCATGGGGGCACTGTCTTGCTTTCTCTCTCTCTTTCTCTTCGGCGTGTGTGCACGTAAGTTCACTTACCTTCTGGCAGTTAAAACACAAAAATGCAAACAACCATAAATAAAGAAATAAGTAAGTGAGGGCCCCAACGTCAGCACCCTGCACGGGCTTTACTCCAAGAGCGCGCTGCAAGCGGAAATTCTCCTGCTAGTCCACGTGCGGGGTTTGTGTGTGAGTGCTTGGACATGCCAGACCCATGAGAACACAGCCCACATCCCTACTGTGGCCTGCCTTTGTACCGCCCGAGCCTACAACCCCGCCTGGCACACAGTAGGCACTCTGAATATTTGCTAAGACTAACTCCATGTCTGGGGCTGGGGCCTCTCTAACTTGGCCTCCACGAATCTGGTTAGAGGAGAGCAAAAATAATACAGAATAAAACAAACTGAAGAGGAAAACCCACGGGGGCAAAGCCCACACTTTCCAACAGTAAATTCCTGACCTTTTTGCTTCCCTTTCCAAGACTGTCTGTAAAAAGAACAACAACAAAAAAGTTTTTAAGAAATCCCCTCCAATTACCTCTGCGATGAGACGTAATATGCCAAGTTTTTGCCCAGAGCACATTTTTACAGCTGAGTAATAAACCCCAGAGAAACACGCCTTATGATGGAAACTTGAAGGTCGCCTGTTCCGACAGGGCCACGGTGGCTGCTGAGACGAGAGGCATTCTTGTCAGAGGAGGAGGGGGAAGAAGAAGAATTAGATTAGGTAAATATTTACCCAAAGGAGCAGTGTCTTCAATAATAAGGAATTTTGGCTTTCCTTCCTAAACCAGACCTTTATTGGTTTTCTCTCCAAATCACTTTTATGACACTTGGGTTTGCTTAACAATGAAAATGCTTGATTAACGAAGAGAGTGTGAGAGACCGAGAGACAGAGAAATTGTTAACTATCTGTCCCTGTTGCAACCAGCTGGAGGGTCCCACTGTGCCCCGTTAGGTTGGGCATGCTCAGAGTGCTGCCTTGGTCTCCATGTGGCCTGGGAGGCTCTCAAAGGAGGAATTTTCCAAGAAAGGCAGTTATTTTTGGCTACAGTTGTGGTGTTGCGACAAAAAGAAAAGGAAAAAAAAAAAAAAAAAAAAACAAGCACACTTGCCCTAAACCCAGGCTACAGCGTGGGATCTGCTTCATCCAGATAGCAGCGGAGTAAACGTGGGCAGGTAGCTTGCTCCCGCTGAGCCTCGGCTTCCCACCTGTCAGCAGGGACGATAAAGCCCAGGCTACGAGGGAGTGGCACGCTGCCTCTGTACGCTCCTCTTCCAACGAGCCACCACTGGCAGCGAGGGAGACCCTTCTCAAACCCGTGCCCGGGTCCCCAAACCTGATCACAAGGGGTGGCTATGAAATGAGCCTCAGAAAACAAATAGGGCAGCAGGCAGCGCGGCGGTTAAGGTGGCGGGGTCCCCCACGGCCGACCACGCAGTGTAAGTCCCAGACCCCAGCAGCTAGGAAGCACCAGGTGTGCGTGAGCACGTGTGAGTGCCCAAAATCCTGACAGGAGAATAGAGGGGAAGTGTTGGCAGCGTGGCCAACCCCCCAGGGGGTGATTTTTCACTGTCCCTCTCTGTCTCTGGCAAGTGCACATGCTCTGTGGCAAAAATGGAAAAAAGTAAAGAAAAGAAAAATTCAGGCTGGGGCCTGATGGTGGGGCCACAGTAAAGTGCAAGGCTCTGTGAGGCTGACTTACCCAGGAAGGTCCTGCGGCCGCACCTAGGGGCTTCCCCCTGAGGCCTCTCGTGTGTCTGCGACCCGGGGCTGGCAGAGACTGGCGGTGGGTCGGGGCATCGAGACTGCCTAGGGCGTGAGCTCTGCCTCTCGGCCTCCCTCTGTCTCTCACGGAATAAATACATACATAAACAAACAAACCAAAGGAAAATATAGGCATTAAGTCAAAAGTCCACAGCACAGCTGCCGGAGACTCACACCAGAGTTAGTTCCCGCCCTCGTGGACTTCCAGTTGACTTTCAGAGCTTTTTTTTAATTGGGAAAGTAACGGAACAGTCAAAGAGGTTTTTGAAAACAAACTCCCAGATTTATCCCACGACCCTGACACCCCAATTACTTTCCTGTCTGCATATTTTCTCTTTGCCCACGTGTGGCCTGCGCTTGCCCTTGTGATGGGAAACACGTCCCCTGGAAACCGGAGCCCAGAAGACACCGGCGGCTTCTCGTTCTCGGGAACCCCCCCAACGGACACCGACTGGTTTCTGTTTCGTTCTCTGTCACTTAGGAAGCTAATCTGTTTTATTATTTTAAAACAAATTTATCATTTTAAAGTACGTATTTACTTACTTTTAATATTTAACACCAGCCGGTTTGGGGCATCTCTCACTGTGGGAGTTAACCCGTCTCCGCAGCAGCCTCCTCCAGGAGCGAGCGAGGACTCAGTGCCGCCGTAGGTTCATCTGGCACATGCACCTGCGCACACAGCACTGGCTGGCCACTGCCAAGGCCCTGGGGCTTTGTGCCACATTGCCTAGGTAACTAGTAGCCAGCCTCAGAAATGGCATGGTGTGGGGGGCACTAATTCCCATCACCCCCTCCTCAAATAGTCAGTTGGTCTCTGTTGTCACCACAGTGAATGTTTTTCAAAAAATTGCTGCTTCCCTTATTAAGTGCTTACTATGTGCCAAGAACAGCCAGGGGCTTGTTCTAGTTCATCGTCAAGACTCCCAACAACGCTTCGAGGTCGATGTTACTACCTCTCTTTCTGAAGATGAGGAAACTGACGATCAGAGAGGCTAAGTGACTTGGCCAAGGTCACACAGCACCAGCTTAGTCTGATTGAAACCTGCGCCCTTCCTCACCTTCCCCAGCAGCGATGTCGGTCAGAGCAGACGAACTGGCAGACGAGGTCTGCTTCTTCCATGGAGAGACCTGGGATCTGCTTTGAGGGCCCATTGTTCAAGCCAGAATGGGCAATTCCTTTCCATTCTACCTCTCACAGTTTAATGCCCAGGGTGGCCACACGTCTGTTTGCTGCCCAAGAGCATGGAGATCCCTGTGACTGCCAAGACTCAGTTCTGAGGTCACAGCAAGGGTAGACACACCAGGGACGGGCCTGAGCTGCCACACTCTGCTCTCTGAT